TGGGCTCCGCGTTGGCCAACCTGAAGATCCCGGGGGTGGGCTGCCTTAGCCAAAGCACAATCTGCAGGTTTGAGTCCCTCACCTTGTCCCACAACAACATGGTGGCCCTCAAACCCATCCTAGAAGCGTGGCTGGAGGAGGCCGAGCGGGCGCAGAGGGAGAAAATGACCAAACCTGAGATCTACACGGGAGGTGACAAGAAACGCAAGCGCACCTCCATCGCTGCCCCCGAAAAGCGGTCGCTGGAGGCCTATTTCGCCGTGCAGCCGCGACCCTCCTCGGAGAAAATAGCCGCCATCGCCGAGAAGTTAGACTTGAAGAAGAACGTGGTGCGGGTCTGGTTTTGCAATCAGAGACAGAAGCAGAAAAGGATGAAATTTTCTGCCACCTACTGAAGAGGCTGAAAGGGCGGGGGGGGGGGAGTACCTGCCTTCCCCCCCCACCCCCCCGGCCCACTGCGGTCCTGGCCCCCAGCCCCTCAAATGGGCAAGGTTTGGGGTTGTTGGCTTTTTTTGGTTTGTTTAAAAAAAAAAAAAAAAAAAAGAAGGGGGGGGGGGGAAAAAAAAAAAAAAAAAGGAAAAATAAACCTAAAAAAGGGAAACCTGCCCAAAGGGAAGCGAACAGTTTGGTGCCTGCTCCTCACCCCCGGGCGAAGTGGCCCCGCTGTTATGACTGTTTCAGACTGCTTTTGTAGATAAAACTGGAGAAAAAAAAAAGATGGAGAAAAAGGAAAAGACAAAAAAAAAGGCTTGGGGGGGAGGGAGGAGGCGGAATTTCGGGGTGCCCGGAGTCAGGGCAGCAGCAGCGAGAAGCCGGCTCGGCCGGGGCTGCGGCACCGCTCTCTCCTCGGTGCCCGGTCCTCTTCTTTTAAAAAATTAAAAGAAAAAAAAAAAAGCAAAGCGCTAAAAAAGAAAAAAAAAAACCTAAAAAATTTAAAACAAATAAGAAAGAAAACGAGCTCGAAGCCGCCCCGGCTGGCTGTAAATACGGAGGTGCCGGCCCGTGCTCCCCGCTGCCGGGGTCCCCCCGCACACACCCGCACACACACGCACTTGCATGGTTTTGTTCGCTCTCCCCTGCCCCCAGCAAACCCATCGCATTTTTGCAATAACGTTTCTGTTTCTACCTCATCGGCTAAATTTAAAAAAAAAAAAAAAAAAAAAAAAAAAGAGAGAAAAAAAAAAAAAAAGAAAGGAAAAAAATTTGGCACGTCCCTGGAGTCACGGTTTGTTCGGGGAAAAAAAAATATGGAGATTTATTTTGCTCTGGTTTCACTCAAAACTGTTCGATATCGGTATGATTTCATTGTAAAAAAAAAAAAAAGAAAAATTAATACTAATCCTACGCTTCGACAATCAAGTCATTCGGGCTGGCAGGAGCGGCGGGACCGGCCCGGGACAGCGGGGACACCCGGGCAGCCCCCGGCCCTCCGCGGGGGCGGCCGTCTTTGCAAATAGTGAACTCTGCACTTTCTAAGGCAAGAATACTG